CATACCCATGTTGAAAGCTAGGTTTATATATATATAACTATAAATTTTTAAATGTCTAATTTATTATTTAAACTATTTTTTTTGTAACCTTTTCAATGGGTTTAAAAAATCTTCAATATATATATATATATATATATATCAAAAAACAAAACCTCCTTTATTTTAAACACACTTGCTCCAAACTTACCCTCGCCAAATTCACATTCCCTACACCCACGTTCTACCAAAGAATCCCTTAGTGTTTTGAGTGGCAGCGTATTATTTCCTACTTAGTTGATTCTCCCTAACGCTGCTCCCAAGTTGTTTTCCTTCATATACTTGTTCAACTAAGCCATACTGTTAAACACATAGGCACAGGCCAATATTTCAAGTTATCCTGTATCCAAACCCACGCATCTGTTAATAGAAAATATCTCATGGATGCACAAAAAATTTACAAGATAAAAGTGAAAGGTAAGACTTTTAAGTTATGTCAAAAATGAAAGTCTAAATTCAAATGATCAGTGGACTGCAAGATGAAAATTAACATCCAAGCACATAGGTCCATCTGCACAACTGAGTGTTGTTTAAAAAAATAATAATAAAGAAAGGGAAAGGAAAGATAAAATCACTTGGGGCTAGCGGCAACACATAAAAGTGAATAAATGAAAGAATAATCTCAAGCGCCCTTAATATATTTCAATGGTGGATTAGCAAGAGGTGGATGCAGTCCCATACCGGCTTGATTGTTTCTATGGCTCCTTGATAAGTCCAGGATCCAAATATATCATTATAAAGTAATTTTGCAAAAAATTTTATATAAGGGAAAGAAAAAGAAAGAGAAAAGAGAAAGAATGCTTGCTATAACTGAAAAATTAAGCGATGAATTGAAAGTTTGAAACTTATACAAGTCAAAATTGGTTAAATTTGACATTCAATGGATTATTACAAATGTTCCATCTAAACTTAAGACAATGTTTCAGCAAAGTCTAAGCATATGCACCAATCTAAATATAATGAGTTTGGTTAAGTGGCATCCCCTTGTGTTCCCATCCCCCAAGCTATAACATTCCTGGCGTTGGCCTTTGGCTAGTTAATGAAGATCTTTGAGCGACTTATTCAAGCCACATACTCGTTGAATAAAAAAAATTTATAACTTTCTGATAACAAAGGACTTTACCAGATAAACAAAAAATTCGCACTAGCTTACACTGTAAAACAGTCAAATAACCTACCTGAATGATGCCACCAATCTGCTGTTCCCTAATGGAAGCAAAGTTCTGCAGAGTGAGCCCGTAATCTTTAATCCCATCAACAAGCTGCTGAACTCGGACACCCGCCTGGACTCGAACCGTCTTCTTCTCCTTATCCACCTCCAAAACCTTATCCATTAAAGCCAAATTCACCATTCCTTGCCTAGTCAACCCGATTCCATTGGGAGAGAGCCGGAACCTACGGGTCGGATCTTCTGCTTCCTCTCATTGGCATCCTTCACGATGCTCTCCAGCTCCTGCAGGGTCTCGGGCTGCAGGAAGACCCGGGTTTGGACCTCGTGGGTACCGCTCCAGTTGGTGACAGTGTGAAGATCATCAGGCAGTGGAGCGTAGCGGAAGAGCCGGGCCTTCTTGTGCTTGGCGTCGTCAGGGAATGGGAAGGAGTAGTAGGTGGCGACGCCGCAGCCGAGGAGGAGGGCGAAGTAGCCCAGGTACTTACGAATCTCGGATTCGGAGATTAGGGAAGATGAGGTGGGAGGAGGGGTGGAAGAACAGAATGGGCGGATGAAGTTAGGGTTCTGAGAAGTAGATGAAGATGAAGTTAGGGTTTTGAGAGGGTTTTGGCGGTGGTGATGGTGGTCGAGCTGGCGGAGGGCTCGCCGGAGATGGAGGGCTCGAAGCATTTCGGTTCAGACTAGAGGGGTGTAATATTAGGAAGAAGAAGACTGAGAGTCAGAAGCGTGAGCTTGAGTTACAGATACGGTTCTTCCAACTTTACGGAATCTTTTTAGAAAAGTTCTGATCTGATAATTTCAGGCCGGCCATCCGGTTCCGATTCCCCAATCGATAATTTGACGCACACTAATGGCAGGGAAAAAAAATAAAAAGTAAAAAAACTTTTAGGTTACAAAAGCTAATATCAAATCGACAACTTAACAATAGTTGGTGATTAGATAAGATTAGATATTATAATCCAAAAATATAAAGAAAAAAAGACATGATAATTAAATATTTATTTGTTTTTTACTTTTTTTTACCCAAGGGGAGGGAGGAAGCAGAGTTAACCCATACCATGAATAGAATTAAAATAAGAAAAACAAAAAAACAAAAAAAAGGAAGTTCCGAAGTTCACCTTTGGGGTGAAACTTTCCACCCCGCACCTCGCTCTTCCAAGGTAAATATTTAAAAAATATTTATATAATACAAAAATAGTGCTTACTTTTCTTTTTTCAATTTTATAATAGTTTCCTATTTTTATTATATACAAGAACAGGACCATTAGTAATTCACGCTTCTTAATCAGCTCATTGAGTCATCATCAATCACATCACTCGCCTTCCAACGGGGCAATATTTAGAAGGTTTAGGTATACGTATTTCCAACTATAATTGCTCGATCCATCCTCAACTAGCTCTCTTTCAGCGTTTTCTTCGCATACAATTTATCTTTTTGCACATAGGAGGTTATTTGGGACCTCTTTAGCATCCTCACCGAAGTTATTATAAAAATAACATTATTTAACAAAATTTCCAGGATGTAGCTTATTCTTTATTAAGATTTTTTAATTTACAGAAATGATGAGAGAATTTCAAAAAGTTAATTTATTTTTGTTACCCACAGGTCAGAAAGCCAAACTTCCAGTACTCCACCATGTCCAAAATGGTGAAAGAGCTTCCAGGTTATACCTTCCCATCTCTTTCAAATGGTTATATTAACCAAAATCCTGAGAGAAGAACGTCAAGGCCTCAATAAACCTCAAAATTCTACAATCTAACAGCACTCAAAAGAAAGAATAATGTACAGATACAGAGACAAAAGGGCACATGGACTATGTATTACATTATAACACACTCCAATTCATCTGATGAAATCTGGTCAGGCCAGAAGGTTCTAAGTTATCATTTTGTTCATCAAATATTATTTGTATTCTGTACACTGCTTTACCATGCTACAGCATAGATTCTCCATATTAAACAACACAAGAGCTAGATTCTCCAGTTGATTAACACAAAAGCTACCCTACGACGTACAATCTCTAGATGCCCACTTGTCCTCGTACCTTCCAAATGAGTAGGATGTGGGAGGCATCTCGGTTAAGTGAAGAGGATCTGGTTCAATTCCATAATCTGTCAGCGGTCTATGCTCCAGAATATTATCATGGCTCAGCACGAACTCAGGGATCTCAATCTCTCCTTTCTTTATATCATCCCAAAGGTACTGCAGGCGGCTCACATACTTGATTTTCCAGTATAAGCTGAGATCCAAAATTAAACTATGAGCACAAGCAATAGTTGATGGCAGCATGGACTAGCTACAATTAAGAACAAAGCCAAACCAACTTATTGACCGCCATCAGAAACTATAATAGGACTTCTTTGACCCAGAAAACTAAAGATGAAGTCTGTGCAGGAGTCATTGAGCAACCCAAACAAGTTTGGGTATCTGGAGACAGGTAGGGTTCATCAATGAGAAGGGGAAATACAAACTTAAATCAAGAATCTATCACGAGCAATCTAATCAAATTGAAGTAGTTTCTGCATAATCAAGCAACACTATGAAAAATCTAATGAAGAGCATAAAACCACAAAACACTGTGGATTAGCAGATCTTGCTAGGCAGATTTGCCTACCACAAGATATTCATTACAAGTTCTTAATTTTAACAATAGTCACATGCCCTGATTTTCTGTTGATTACACATTCTCTTGTATAATACTACCATCCAAGTTTGCAATTCACAAAGTTCCTTAGTATATACAAGGATGATTTTAAGTAATTTCTGAATCTATATGTCAAACGTGAAGTGAGTATTGACTTAAAGAAAATATTGCACTTCAAGTTCCACCAAAACCTTATTTAACTTCTAAAATGAAAATAGTCATATGATAGCTAATCTTTGATAACATAATAGCTTTCTTAAATTATTTATTCTTATATTAGTTATCTATACAATTAAAAGAGATAATACAAAGACAAATACATATATGATAATGGGGTAACTCAGTGCACAAGGCTTCCGCAACCGAAAGGGTATAGGACTTCAGAGAACATGGAGTTTGTAAAGCCTTACCCCTGCACGCAGTGGCTGTTCGTGATATAAAAAAATTGCAACTAAATTACAGTGGGATGAACCTTGATAATGTGCCTGGCCCACTTTCATATGCACATGTCACGACAATAGAATATATTTACTTCATTTATTAACAATAAATTATAATTATTATACAATATATATGACAGCAAGGCACTCATCTCCTCAGAATTCAGAAAATTGACAATCTAATATTCACTCCAACCTGCCACACCCACACCACACACACACACACACACACACACAACACACACACGCACACGCACGCACGCACGCACGCACAGAACTCTCAAAATTTGTGAGTAGCACATATTGGAATGAGGTCATCTAGTCATTATGCTCATTGAAGATGTCAAAATAAAATCCCTCTGGCACACCCTTTCTTTCCTTTTCCTTATCTAAGTATGAGATCTCAATCAACAACTTACCCTCCACTTAAGAAGAATCGGCCTAAAGTAGCAAGCACCAGCCTTGAGCTGAGTCCTGGATGAATGAAATATACAACTTGCAACCTATCCTTGCAATCAGAGGGAAGTTCTTCATAGATCCACCTCAAGATTGTTAGGCCAGGGTTGTTGTCTTCCTTTTGCACTGTACTATGCATGTAAACAATGCAGTATGGTCCTTCTGGCATCTCAGAATATATTTTGTGAAAAACATACCTCTTGAGCCGTTCCCCAACATATAACTGGAGCTGAAAACAATAGATTAAGCAATTCAATCACAAGGGGTACTTTAGTGCAGAAAAATAAGTCAATTAAAAAGCAAAAATATAAGTTGCAAAGAAACTCATACAACTAAGAAAATATAATAACCTTCAACAAAAATTCAAATCTCATTAGCAATTAAATGAAATCATTATAAACAGAATCCATAGCAGTTTATTTTCAATCAAATGCAGTCATGAAGGGGCATTCATGGGAGGTGAGGTGATGAACCCAGCAGAGCCAAGACCCTCTGTGAACAATTTGTTCTTTGAATGCATTTATATATTGATAATGTGTTTCTACAGAGATGCCAAAGCAGGGAGGAGAACCCACATTTGAGAGCACTTGGAATATCTATAACAAATAATCCAGCATTTGTCTAATGGTAATATGACAAAATCCAAAACAAAATGCAAAAGACCATAGGTGTATCTTTTTGCGAGTAAAACTGCAGCACAGTAAAATGTTGGAGAAAACAAGTTCTAAGCTTGTGAAAAAAATAAAAATAAAAGAAAACCAGATAAGCCTGTAAATCTCTAAAATCTAAGTTATATATCTTCTTGGTACCAAATATCTGAACAATTAGTAATTGAATAGTAATTGGTTAATTGAAGCAATTCAGCTTGACCTTCACTGAGCTTCAGCCAAGTTGCTCCATTCTTATTCTCTTCCCTGAAATGCACAGTCATACATCAAAAGCATGATATAGCCTGTAACAAATATGCCACCTCCTAGTCCTAGCAGGAAGACTAAGTTTGAATTATTAGACCAATGCCCAAAGGCTCCAATCTAATACAGTCTGTCCCATGTATTTTTTTTGTTCAATTTACCTCTTTTAACCCTATACCTCACAAAAGAAATTACCAACACAATAAATAACTATACTCCCACCATCTGTTTTCCCAATTATCCTCCCACAGCTTCCAATCTCCTAAATTGTTCATTATTGATCCCAGGATTACCCAGTCCCGTATTTTTGTATCATACAAATAAAAGAGCCCTTAAAAATTTAGGAAACTGGCACATCAGCTCAACCGAAAGAATATGATTTCAGAAAGATAACCCAAGTTTCCAAGATTAAGATTTTTAAGGGGAGTTTAGTTCCTTAAAAAGAGGGAAAGCTTTGAGTAAACAGTGAGGTTTTCTACTTGTGAATGGAAGATAAGGGATATGAGCAAAAAAACCATCTCTTTGCAAATATGGATAGGGGATGACATTCCCTAATCCTCAGAAAATGGGGATCCTCATGGACCAGAAAGCCCCTTTTGGTTTTTCAAAAAATCATACTTCTTCTTTAGTTTTTTTTTTAAAAAAAGCAAAAACGAATTAGATTTTCCATTTTTATAGTTCATTTATTTAAGGTAAAAGCCTGAATTTTCAAAATGCAAAAGACAATTTTCTCCACTTCACGAAAAAAGCCACCTAAAAAGTTAAAGAAACTTAGCTTCAGCCTTAAGGCCTAAAGCCACACACTCTTATGTTACATCGCGGAATAAGACAGAAGGCAGCAAACCAAAATGAGCCAAAAAAACAGACAATTTAACATACCAATGGCAAGATTCACACTTCAAACGAACTGCCAGTAAATGAAGATTTTTTTTTTTTTTTTTTTTTTTGGGGGGGGGGGGGGGGGTGTGGAGCGGAGCTAAACCTATACAACCTAAAAAAATATGCAAAATCCGTGTAGTGAGATGAGTTGAAAAGTAAGGCTGTCCACTTAAAAGTAAAGTTGGATTAACCGCTGTCCACCTAGATGCAAGTAAACCTTCCACAAATCCCTAAAACTCTAACAGGCTCAGAGCAGCGAAAGACCCTCCCATCCCCTAATGGATAAATATGTATAATTAAAAACCTCAAATTGGGAGATAAGACAGCGAAATAACGGTGGGTGTTGATTTAATTACCGGGAAGTATTTGCCAACGATGCGGAAGATGCGGTTGCCCGCCTTGTCGGAGCCGCTCTCGAGGCGGAAGAACTGCAGTGTATCAAGATCGGAGAGGTCTTCATCGGAGGCCAAGTATGAGGGGCAGTCTTGCCAGTTCTCCTCCTCGTGAGGAGGATCCGACGAAGGAGACAAGAAGGGCCTAGCATCTACGCCCAGATCTGAGGCCAACACCACCACCGAGAAATCTTCTGAAGTCGAACTGCCCATCTTTACTTTCTATCTAGAGATTTCCTTCTGTCTGACTAGCTAGGGATGACGAAGCGGGTGGGCAAGATGAGAAGCCGGGAAGCCGATGCTCGGTGCCTTGACGCTGATAGTATGCTCGCAGCTCGCTTTATGTAAAGAGCGGCTTAGATAACCGATTTAACTAAAGAACTGAACCGGACCGGAAAATTCAGTTTATTTTGGCTTGGCGTGGCTTGGCTTGGCAGTCCGAACTTTATAAATAAAATAATAATGCTGTGACATAATTTATATATTATATTATTTATCTATATCTATAAGAAACAGTAGGTTACATGTTATAGATATCTACTTGTATAATTAGATAAACAGGCATTTTTGATTTGGTTTCCAACGTTAATTCTTGAAGAGCACCGATCAACGAACCGAAGCAAACCAAATTAAAGCAATCAGCTCCATTCGGTTTTGCTGTATGGCCAGTTCATTTTAACAGCCAGTCCTGCACTAATAAGGGGCAGATTTGTCATTTTGTGCACGAAACCCATAGGCATAATGTTTGAACTAAGGAGCTATGAGTTAGATAATTAAACCTAATTTAATCCATATAATATTTTACGCTTAGTTTTGGGGTTTTATGTAAATTAACTATATTAGAGTCCATAAACCCAAATTTTAAAAACTTTTTATTTAGAATAATCTTGAAAAAATATATTAATATTTTAAAAGAATATAAATATTTTGGTAAAGAATTTTAGAGACAAAATTATAACTTTACAATGAAAAATATGTTAACACAATCTCTTAGTCATTCATTGTGAAGGTGTCATTAATATAAAAAGGGTGAATCTTTTTATTTTGTGTTAAGTTAAATTTGAAAATTAATAAAGAGTGTTCTTGTATACTATTCTTCCTTCTAAAATTCTATCCTTCCAAATATCATATAACCTACAAAAACATCGACTTCCAACACTATGGTTGGTCTTGGTAGCTTGGTACCGTTTAAGAATTAGGAAGAATGAAAAGAATGAAGGTCGAAAATGTGGGAAATAAAAAAAGTGCGGATTAGATTCGTGGTGCTAATTGCTATGATGGGCAAAGATGAAGGACCAAATTTTTATTTAGATTTTTATAGGTTGAATAGAATGAATGAAGAAGGGGAAAAAGTTAAGATAATTAAATTATTATACATTAATATAACACTAAAATTGTAAATAAATGATCAAGTTGGAATATTTATTGTAGCATACTATATAATTCTCTAGATTTTAATAAAGGGGTTAAAATGGCCATTTTCTCTAAATTAAGCATGTTCAATTTGGTACTTAAACTATTTTTTAATTCAATGTGCCCCTTGAATTTCTTTTTTTTTTTTGGTCAACCTAGTGCAATTAATCCTTTTACAATTTTTCTTAATAGAAAAAGAAAAATTTACATTTTTCTCCTCCTTATTTGAATAATAACTAAAAAGGATTAATTGGTATATTTAAACATTTTAATATATATTATTGATTGTTGAAAATAATTTTGTAAAAATACATATATAATCAAGTTGGAGTAAGTGGAGAAATGGATTTTAACATTTTCCCGTAAACCTATCTCATTAAAATAGGAGAGAGTAGAAGGTAAATGATCATCCCTATATAGAATAGCTTAATTGTAAGGATGACAACTTATTATGGAGAAACTTTTCAATATTATTTTTGCGAACCATTCAAAACATATCAAACTATGACATCGCTTCCAAGATCTGACTTGTACCAGCATTTGGTCATGCCCTCCCAAGGCTTCCGATGGTTGAGAGGTATTTAAGAATCTCATTATAGAATGTGGAAGGTCGCATATATCTTTCCAAATCAAGTAAAAGATGTGCACAAAAGGTAAAAATTGCAACATTAGGGCAAAGCAATAGGACTGCAACTGTAATGGGGTCAAAGAAAGACTTGTTGATCATTTCTGGCATAATCCAACAAATGCAAATGGCACAAGAAGCCACCATGGATGTGATTGCCATGCACATGGTGAGCAATACCAACCACTTATATTGCCTTATTGTGATGGACAAGCCACTAAGGAGAAGCAACATGGAACAGAGAGATGCAAGAAAACCAACTGTGACACTTCAAACAAATCACAAGTATATGAATATAAAAAAACTATAAGCCATTACAGCTTTCTTAGCTTTATACGTTGTGGTGTCTTACTGCCACACACCACCTAGAGGTCCATAGCTACTTGGAACGCCATGGTTGCTATAAGTGATACCATAACCATCATTGCATCCCTTTTCTCCATTACCCACTCCCTTTTTCCAAGTTGTTTTGCATGTCTAGCACCAAGTTTGTCAAGTAAGATTTTGATTTCAAACTTTGCATTGGCTCGATCTTTTCTTCATGTAATAAATACATCCATGGCAGTGCACCCATTAGTATTTATTACATTTACTTAGATATCTCTCTTCTTAAAAAGTAGTCTTATTATCTAAAAAAGAAACATGTATAATATTGTCATCTTTTGTAACACTTCAAACCAAAGCCTTCATCATATATTTTATATTTTATTTTGCATAAGTATAATTAGTAGAATAATTACCGACTTAAATTTAGTCTAAAAATGCCCTAAATATTTGTTGATAAGAATGGTAGGTTTTGCGATTACTAAAAAAATATATATATAATAAATAAATAAAATAATAAATCAAATAAAAAAAAGAAAAAGAAGTTGTGATTTCATGGGGTCTCATGTCCCCTACTCTCCCACCATGATGAAGATTTTCTTTACTCTAAAAAAATAAAAGAAAAGAAAGAAGGAGAAGGCTTCACTTTTCCGTAAAAGATGAGGGAAGTAAAGATAAGAAGAAAAAGGAAGAGAAGAGGAAAAAGAAAGAGAGGAAAATAGAGAGAGAAGGAGAGCTCGAGAGGAAGGAGTTGCGGATGAACGAAGACGAAGAAAATTTTAATCGATTTTTGAATAAGTTTTCAATTAGTTTTTTTATATTTTCAATTTAGATGTATTTTAGTTTAATTTAATCAGTTTATATTTTTGGTTTAAGTATTATTTTCATGATATTAGGGAATAAATTCTACCCGTTTAGATTAATCTTTTTATTTAATTAATTCATATTAATTCTATTGAGAAAGTGCCTTAGTTAGTTTAGTAAAATAAGGCCAAGTTGACATTAGAAATTGACAAAACCCTAATCTAGAAGTTCACCAACCCATTTATAGATTATTTTTTAAAAAAAAATAACTATAACTCCTTTTGTGAACGTGAGTATATCTTAGTATACCTAACTTAACAATAAGTATATATTATTATTTTGAGAATTTTCGGAGTACATATGTAGTAAAAATTTTGACCTCAAATAAAAATGTTAGAAAACAGTTTAATTAGAAATACACCTCATGTATGTACTAGCATATTCATATATTCATACATAATTTTAGCATGTTATTGCTAGTGTATATGGTTATCCTTTAGGAAAAAATATCGGCTAGTCAGTGAAACCAACAGGATTGAGTCTGGGCACATACAATATCAGCAGAGGTGAGTGATTTTTTTCCTAAACTCAGTATTTTCCTGAAATAAAGAAATTTATATTTTTCTTACAAATAAATGTTTTACTTTAAAAACTAATGGTTTTATTTTTTTAAATATTTTTTTTAATTTATATGTTATGATTATTTTGCTATGAGAAATAGAAACATGAATCTCATTTTATGCTATATGTCATATACATGAATGTTTGCAATTTACCTAGTTAATTCACTGGGTAGCCACATTACTGTAACAGTATTACATGATTTATTTTTCCGGTGGAGTCTTACGGCACAAACAAGTTATGTGTGTTCGTCAATGGGGGTGGTGTCCTATGTAACGAGTCTCATAACCAGTAGCACCCAGTGGATTCTTCTTATGTTATGTTATATCTACGTGCACGTTAGACTTCATGTTTATTTTTAGAGCTGTTATGTTTTTGCTATCCATCCTTAACTCATTTACGACATTTTTGCTATGGTTGGATCTGCAGGCTCAACGGGTGAATTAGCTTTTTTCTTTTAAATTATGATCAATGAATTGATATCTCACGATATGATATTTTATATCAGTTATGCCAGTTTTACAAACTATTTTTATTTACATTATTATGCAACATATTCACGTTTCACTGATTTTAGTTAGAAGACCATTCATTAAGACACAAGTTTCACAACTCATTTATTTTTCAGGTTTCAGCAGTAGAGACCTATAGCTATACCACGTGCATCCGATATTTCAATGACTTGCATTCTAGAAAGGTTGAGCCCCACTCTTGTCAATAGTAACTAGTTTGGTTGTTGTTTTGAGTGAAGGTTAAACAGTTGTTTTGTATATAGATCTTATTTTGGAAAAGATGAGTTATTTAAGATAATTATGTTTTCGGTTATAATAATATCTTAGTTTTTCCTGTAATGCCTTGTTAATATTTTTTTAGTGTTACTTGATTTTTTTTTAGTTGTGAGTTATACGTTTGACTTAGTGAGTACGATAATTGAATAAGATTTGACTTTCTCCTGTGAATCCTGAGCATCAAAGGTTGTTAAATTCTGTTTTATTTCACACCTCACTTAAGTTATGGAGTGGAGTGTGACAATTAGGAGTATTAGAGCAGTGTTAAGATTTTTAGGGGGTCAATGTTAATAAGTCTTATAGTAAAAGTTAGTCACATTTAGAGTACACAGATCACATCACTAATGAGTATTATTTGACATATTATGTTGTATCGGATATTTATACCAACTATGGCAAACATTAGAAGGACCTCAGGCAATGCTTGTATTGGCCAAAATATGGCCAATAGAGACAGAGTGGGCCAACCTCTTAAGGAGACATCTAGCATTTCATTCCCTGCCTCAGCGACAGTAGGTGCATCCCACACACATGATTCATTGAAGAGAATGCATATAACTATTGATAAGAAATTGAGACATTGGGGTTATAAACTGAAAATTGATAAAAAGTTTGGGAAGTCATGCATAGTCCACCAA